TATTGTTTGGAAATATGGAACCGCGGAGGGAAAGACAGCCAAAAAGGTTAAGTGTTTCCAGGGATCAGGACTGGGGTGGGGCAGAAGGCTGCGGTTTTTCATCATATGCCTTTTGGTTCCATTATCCTTTTTATTCTTAATCAGCCCATGGACTATGTAGATCAAAGCATATTTTTTTAAAAAGAGAAGTTCTGCCAATTGTAAGACTCTGATTTCTAGATAGGGACTGGGGAAGCTCATCTGGTGCGGCCTCCCACCTTCGGACAGGTAAACGCCCAAACCCAGGTGGCCTCTTACCACACCCTGCTCGGCACCAAAAGAAAAACAGCCATGGTTTGACCTGCCTGGCGAATGCTGTGCTTGAGAGTGACAGAGACTTTGGGGAAATGGTCATTGACTGTTGAAAGATTGTCATGCGCCCTCGAGGGGTCTCCCATCGAGGTTGAAAGGGAAACTGGAGAGGGGCCAGGAGACCCCCAAGTCCTGGCCTTGCTCCCGTTTCACTGTGGGACTGGAGCCAGTCATGGCCTCCCAGTTCCTGTCTCTGGACAGTCAGAGCGCTGGGTTTTCCAAGGGCCTTTACAATTCTCCATTTCCCCAGATGGAAAATGATAGCTTCTGTGCACCGGGCACAGCAGGGGACAGAGGGAGGGATAATAGACAAGTGAACAAATAAGATTCTTTGAGACTGAAAGTTTTCTGAAGAAAATAAACCAGGGGATGGTGTCGGTGATGCTGGGGTGGGATAGATAATGATGGGGGATAGACATTGCTGGAGGGCGTGGGTGATCAGGGACACTGCTCTGAGGAGGGGCTGCTTGAGTTGAGACCTAGACAATGTGAGGAAAGCCAGCGGGGGTGGCAGGGAGAGGGCGCTCAGAGCACTGTGTCCTGCAAAGAGGTGGGGAGGTGGTGACAAGGGGTCAGTATGACTTTTCTTCTAAGGGAAAATAAGTTTCTGTGCATGGGAAGCATAAATGTGATGCCACCCTGGGTTTGGTGGGCCAGGCTTCATCCAATACCCAGCCCAGGGAGTTGTCTGTCCTTCAGTATCTCCCGAGAGGGCCCACCGAGTCCCTGCCCAGGAGTAAAACATGGGTGTGTGTTGCAGGAAGGATTGAGCGCCGCTAGGAAGAGCCGTGGGGATGCAGAGGCTGGACTGTAGCGGCAGAATTATACTTCCAGGGGAAATAGGGGTGTTAATAAGTCAAAGGTAGGAAACCAAGGCTTGTCCACCCACCCAGGCCATCCGTAGGAGTTGGTCCAATACTTTCTACCTCCTGAAGACCCTCTGAAGATCAAGGCTGACACAGCACTAACAGTTCCTAGTATGCTTTGCAGTAAATCAAATTTTAATGAATAAAAATTAAAATGCAATAAATTAAATGTTCATATCTTTTGACCCAGCATCTCTACGTTTAGGAATCTGTCCAAGCAAAGAAGTAAGTTCATAAATGTTCACTGGCAGTATAGCCTGGAGTAGCAAAAGCCTGGAAATGAATGAAATGGGCCTGGATAGGGAGCTAGTGGAGTCCATTGTGGCATAGCCTACAACGGACGGAACACCAGGCAGTCTATCCAAGAAGGAGGTGGACTCATATGGAAAAGAATGATCTCTGGGGGATATGAGCAGGTGAGAAAGGCTGGGTTGACTTAGCTCAGACTATGGCCAAATGAGCTTGCTGTAGCTCTCAGCTCCACACCCCTGTCCTCCACTGGCCCTGGAGCCCCTCCAGCCAAGGGACATTGGGACTCTGGAAGCTCAGACACACCTAGTGGCAAGAGGAGGGAAGGGCATCGCCATACACAGTGGCCCCTTCATGGCTGAGCTCCACCAACCCCAAAAGTGAACACTGGATGTCTCCTCCAATCAGAAGCGGAGGAGTGAGTGAGGGGTGGGGCATGAGGCCAGAAGTGTTACTCTGGTGCATCTCCCTCGCAGTGGTTCTCAACCTTCCTGATGCCGCGAGCCTTTAATACAGTTCCTCATGTTGTGGTGACCCCCAACCATAAAATTATTTTCGTTGCTACTTCATAACTGTAATTTTGCTACTGTTATGAATCGTAATGTAAATATCTGATATGCAGGATGTATTTTCATTGTTACAAATTGAACATAATTAAAGCATAGTTATTAATCACAAAAACAATATGTAATTATATATGTGTTTTCCGATGGTCTTAGGTGACCCCTGTGAAAGGGTCGTTCGACCCCCAAAGGGGTCACGACCCACAGGTTGAGAACCGCTGCTCTACAGGGAAGCAAGAGGAGTGGGGAGTAAGTGTTCCCACCTAACAGATACTATCTCTGGAAGGGGTCATAGGAAACTGGGGCGAGTGGCTGCCAGTAGGAAAGGAATAGGGAGACTTATTTTGATTTAAAGATGTAGGAGTAGCCCTAACTGGTTTGGCTCAGTGGATAGAGCGTCGGCCTGCGGACTGAAGGGTCCCAGGTTTGATTCCGGTCAAGGGCATGTACCTTGGTTGCGGGCACATCCCCAGTAGGGAGTGTGCAGGAGGCAGCTGATCGATGTTTCTATCATCGATGTTTCTAACTCTCTATCCCTTTCCCTTCCTCTCTGTAAAAAACCAATAAAATATATTTTAAAAAAAAGAGATGTAGGAGTAAAGGGTCATTTCTAGTCCCTTTTAAAGATTCAAGGGATCTCCTCTACTTATGAATAATTTCCTCCAAAGCTCTGGTGAGGTCACTAGATCTGAATTCCAGGTGTCATCATGGGAGAGTACTTCTCTATTTCCAATTTTCCCGGATGTCAAACAATTCAAACCAATCTCTAGCCACCCTTGTATTCCCCAAGGCCTTCGCCTTACACTGGACTCAAGACCTGACTTGACCCCTTGTAAACACTTACCCTTTTCTGTGCAGGAGCTTATTCCTAATGTCTGGGATTCCAACTGAAACCACTCTCAGGTGTTAAAGCAACGCGTCCCAGACATTTGGCTCTGAGAACCACCCCCAGGATTTTTGCTAACACTGAAGACCACCTGTCCTTTTATGTACATAATATATTTTTTAAATGACTCACTCTTTTAAAATTTCAATAAAGTTGTTTTAATGAGATTTTATATCTCTACTATATATGATATTTCTATAAAAAGGGAGAACTTAGCCCTGACCCAGTAGCTCAGTTGGTTAAAGCATCGTCCAGATACACCAACTTTGTGGGTTCGATCCCCGGTCAGGGCACATACAAGCATCACACAATGAATGCATAAATAAGTGGAACAATACATCAATCTCAATCTCTCTCTCTTTGTGTATCATGACCACCTTTGCTTTCTCCTTCCCTCCCTCCTGTCCTCTTTCTTTAAAATCAATCAATACATTAAAAAAATTAAAAAGAGAAAACCTTAAAATAAACATTATAATATCAAAGCAACATTGTTAATTCTAGCTACACACTATGGCTTGCCCAAAGTTCTGCTTATTGTTGTTGTTTTTAAAAAAGTGGCACATGTTAGAGACAGGCTAGCACCAAACTGGGTCTTTTCTCCTTGGTGGACTCAGACCATTTCGATGAGGACTTTCTCCCTACATGGTTCATTGTTATTTGATACCATATCAGTGCACCATCGAAAATCATGCCTTGTAACATGAATTCCACACTTTGGGGAAGACTGAGTTAAAGCCTCTCTTTTCCTTTTCCAGAAAGTCTTAATTTGTGTCATCTGAGCTGGACAATGTGTAAAGCCATTATCACCCTGAAGTTTGTGGCCCTGCCTGATGAGGCTGGCATTTGCATTCCAGCTGGCATTGAAGTAATATCTGTGGTGCAGGAGCCTTTTTTGTTTTTTCCTTTATTGCCAGGATCAGAAACGCATCTCTTTGCAGGCAGTATACGATGGCAGCTAAGAGTGACTAAGAGTGACGCAGGCCTAAACAAAGGGGGGTTTGTCCTTTTTAAAAGAATTGGAAGAATCTCTGAGCTGGTTCACTGGGTTCTTCCAAATGATGATGCAGAGTTGCAGCTGGGGCCACCCAGGCTGAGCCCTGCAGCCACACAGCTCCTGGCTCATTGTTAAAGGTCCTGAGTCTCAAAGGGCGGCCTTGGTCAGGGACTAAGGGAGTGAGAGTGAGCACGCTCCGAGGGAAGAGCTGACAGAGAAAGGGTGGAGGGTTTGGCACAGTGCAACTCTCTGGGTGGGAGAGTTGGTATCAGGAAAAGGCTCTTTTAACGATTCTATTTCAGTGTGTTGTGGCTACACCATCCAGTTATGTCATCAGCGGGAGGGAGCATGGAGAACTCACACCTGTTTCTGAATGCGGAAATGCTTCAGACCGGAAATGACACCTACCAGTGTTGCTTACAGCCCATTGGCCAGAATTAGTCACGAGGTCCAACCTAACTGCAAGGGAGTCTGGGAAATTCAGTCTCCCAGTGCCCCGAGGGAGAAAAAATGAATGGCAGCTGTCTGCCACATGTTGTATTTGCATTTAGTGGTCGTATGTTGTTCAAATGAGAATAGGTATTAAGAGCAAGGGTGTTTGAGTGAGGGTTAATTTTATAAACGGTCAGATCACTAGGAAATATTTGTGTATCATGACCACCTTTGCTTTGTTACACAGCAGGGACTGTGATAATGAATACTCAACTCAGAGGGCGAGCTTCCTCCGGTGCTGTGATATCCCCAGAGCATTGCCTGGTGGGAGGGAGATCCAGACAGCATTTAAGCCCCCACACAGCCCCTCCTGCCCACCTCAGTGCCCCTGGCAGGCCACTGAAGAGGTGGGATGCTTTTCTGAAGTAGAGATTCTATTTGATCCTCACCCCAAATCCTCCACAAGGAATATTCAGTGTCTGGATGCAACAAAGAACAGCTTTGAAAAGAAAGCTCTAGACTTTGTCTGATAAAATATGCAGGCAAGGAAAGACAGGAAGAGCTGTTTTTTACTTTCTTAAACCCCATTAAAAGTTGCTTGTTTTTCATTTTAATGTTGTCGTTGACAAATTCCAATTTCTCACACCCTCTTTAGCACATCTCCTGCTCTCTCTGGGCTTTCAACGCGACCCCTCACCCTACCGTGCCCCGTGAAAATGTTGGTGCTCCTGGCTTTCATCATCATCTTCCACATCACCTCCGCGGCCTTGCTTTTCATCGCCACCATCGACAATGTAAGTTCCTTTTCCTTATGACCATCCCAGAGCCCCTGGGTCCTGCAGTCAACAGTAAGATTAAAGAACTCCCCAAGGTGATTACAATTGGGGTTGTCCTGCCCACCAAGGCATGCCCACCTCCTGAGCCTGGGCCTGAGGGCTCTGGCCTAAGTGTTGGGGTCTGAAGCATCCACATTTAGGTGGGCCAGGACCTTGGTCCTCTCATCTCTGATTCCCCGACAAAGCTTTGGTTGTAGGAAGCCCTTTGGGCACTCGGCTTCAATTCAGCCCTCCTGAGGTCAATGACTCAACCTTGGCATTAGGTTGACCAATCATTTTGGGCTGGATCATTCTTTGTTGCACTGTAGGAGGGTTAGCCACGTCCCTGGTCTCTACCCACTAGATGCCAGCAGCACTCCCACCCCTACTTGTGACAACCAGAAATGTCTTCGGACGTTGCCGAATATCTGAAGGGGGGCAAAATCATCCTCGGTGGAGGACCACTGCCCTAGCTCCCAGCTGACCCATCCTAGGGGATCTCTGCCCCTCTCGCTTCTGACATCTCCTGACTGACAGAAGCCCTTGTTGCTGGCCCCCCTGGCCTTGCCCTCCCCAGCAGAGCCCAGGCTTGGGACTCTCTGACTCTGCCCGTGCTCCCGTGAAAAATTGAACTCTTTTCCTGTAGTGTCCAGCTCTCAGCCATATGGCAGGAATGCATTTGGCAAATAATCTATTGGCATAGATTAATATCTCTGCCAGCTGGAAATGAAGCTTTTTACCAAAGGTCCCTTGTGGCCCACACCTCGATCCAAAGGTCTGGCTTCAATCCTGATCATCTCAGACTGCAGAGACATTTCGAGTCAGAAACACTGCTCACACAGCTAAAAAAAAATGCACCTTACAAATGGCCATCAGCTCTGCCTGATGACTAATCGTCATAACAGTAGTAACATAGAGCATCACACCTCCTGTCACTTAGCGTGTGCTCACGCTGGCCAAGCCCTGGGCTAGTCCCTTTTATGTGCATCGTCTCAGTTGATCCTCACCTCAAGTTTACAAGATAGGCCCTCTCCTAGCCCTGTTTTATGATGAGGGAACTGGGTCTCGGGGCAGTTAAGGTCCCTGCTGGAGTTTACACTGCAGTAAGTGGCAGAGCTGGGATTGGAACCATTACAGATCTGGCCTTGGATCCTGTAAGGGCAGATAAATGCAGTGATCAGGTTTGGCTTCTTGCAGGTTCCTGAAGAACAGCTGTGAGTGGGTAGAGCAGGGATCACAGTGATGCCGGGAGTTAAAGTATTTCACCTGAGGGCCCGCGCTTGGTGAAATAAATGGTAGTGAATGTTCTTTTAGAATCTCCTTTTTCTGTGTCTTGCACCTGGTCCTCTGGGGTTCTGAAATGGTCGCAGACTTAGTGAACAGAATAGACAGACACGAGGGGCAGAAAAGCCATCGGCCACAGCGCCGCTCAGTCCCGTGGAACGCTCCTGCGTATGCACACGACTGTGGCGCTCCCGGGGCAGACACAGATGGGCATTCTTGCCAGTCAGTGAGTCACGGGTTGCTCATGGGTTAGGAATTGTGCTTGGCACTGTAGCAGGGCACGCAGTGAATGTCTGTGACTGGGTGGACAGGTGGGGGAGATTCCTGTCTTCTGGGAGGTGGAGACAGCAGAAGCAGGAGAGAAATGAAAGCGTTTGGACTGAAGACAGGAGAGTTTCGCCTGATCATTTCGTCCATAACAGGCTCCCCCTTCCCCGACCAGTTTCATCATTTTCTCGCTCCCTTCTGCCTTCACCCCTGTAGCCCTGGTGGAATTTACCACTGTTTATTCCACCAGCTGAGCCTGGTCTCCTCTCCTCCACCTCAGGAGGGCCTGGACCATCCTGTCCTTTACTCAGACCAGGTGGACATCACCTGGGTGCATCACCTGAGCCTGGATCTCAGGCCCCCCCGCCGGCCTCTCGAATCAGAATCTGCACGTTAACCAGCTCCCCCGGTGACCCGCACGCACACTGCACACTGAGAACCACTGGTCCCAAACGCCCATTCACCCCGGGCCTCCCACCCACCAGGAGTCCGTGTTTTCATCATTAACCATCAGCCTTTCCCTGTGTTTCCCTTTTGTGTTACAGGCCTGGTGGGTAGGAGACGGATTTTTTGCAGATGTCTGGAAAGTCTGCTTCACAGTCAACAGCACCAATTGTACAGACATCGACGACAGCTTTGCCTGTGAGTTGCAGCTGATGGGGAAGCATTGATAAGAAAGAGGCTGCCTCCCGGCCCTCTGACTCCTCACCCTCTCCGCCACCCAGCATGATGGGAGGGGTCCGGCCGGGGGTTCAGCAGGGACGATGGTAGCTGGAGACAGGAGGGGGTGGAGAAGCCGGAGGCTGGAGGGCGCACCAGCCCCACCTACATTGGGCCCACCCACCCCTGTGTCTTGGCCAAGCAGAGCTTCCCTTCCTCGCACTTTCTCAGCGTCAGCCCTTATCTAGAATCTTTCCCCGCTTCTCACTTATCCAAGCCTCCCCTCTCCGTAGGCTCAGAGACTGTATCTGACATCTGTGCCACTTCCCAGCATCTCAACAGCTGGCTCCTTTGTGAGCTGTGTCACCTTGCCTTGGGACAGGTCATCTGAGTGGACAGGTCATCAGAACAGCAGTATCCTCAGCTGTAAATGGAGGTAGTAGCGCTGCACCTGCCCTGCCTGTCTCTGTGCATGAGCTGAAGTACCACAGGGCTTTGCAAATGCAGAGCATCCCACTTAAACACATGCTGGCTGCTACTCTCCTCCACTCTGGAGAGGATGGCTCTGTGTTCTGTTCTAGAACTGATGCAAGAGGGCATCCTGCTAAAATACTGGACGCCCTGTTAAATTTGGCATCTCAGATAACCATAAATAATTTAAGTATGTCCCAAATATTAACATGGGACATGCTTATACTAAAAAAATTATGTTGTTTATCTGACATTCACATTTAATGGGCATCCTGTGTGTTTTGTGTGTGTATTTGTTTACCAAATCTGGCAATCCTATTTAGGGAGCAAGGGACCCTGTTCACTGATTCCTAAAGTCTCACCATTCCGTCAGTGACAATATCAACATTCATAACACAAGCAGCACAAGTACCAATAAAAGGCATCATTTGCTGAAGGTTTACTGCGAGGCACAGGGCTAAGTCCTTTACCTAAGCAATTTCATAGCCCTGTCCCCAGGGACCATTGGCCCTGTTTTAAGGTAGGGAAACTGAGGCACAGGGCGGAAACCCAAGGTTACACATCCAGGACTAAATGATGGAGCCAGGATTCCAGTCTTGAAGTGATGGATGCTGAAGCCTGTGCTCTAAACCGCATCACGTGGTCCCTGCCACACCCCTCCCCCTCGGTGCCTTTATCTGCCACGCTAACCCCTGGCCCGGGAAACAGCCATTCTCACCTGCGCTCCGCAGCCCCGGCTGTCAGTGTGCGTGGTCAGCTGGGCGAGCTGGCCGTGCTCCGTGGCAATGTTTCCAAGTCTCTATTATTTGCGTTCCACATCTTCTACGTGGAATTATTTAGTTCCCTGTTACTTTGCCTTAAAATAACAGGGGTTGGCAAACTACCAGCCAAATTCAGTCCAATGAGCTAAGAATGGTTTTTACATTTTTAAAGTGTTGTTAAGACAAAAAGCAGTCCCACCAACAACACAGAGCAGGGTAACGATTAAAAAACCAGCTCTGAGACTCCGCGGAGTTCTGGAAGGTGGAACCCTGCGAGTTCCCACAGCCTCCCAGGCTCTTGTTTACACACTTCCTCTTAAATCTGTGAGTTTGATTGTTGATCCCGGTGCATGTGATTGCCCAATTGGGGTCGCTAGCGGAGCTTGTAGGGGAAGATTGTTTTTGGGGAGCCTGGAAAACAGAGCTGAGAGTGGCGACTGGTGAAACAGATCTGGGCGGAGCTGGTTCAGGTACAATAGAGAACTCCTGGTCAGAGAGGACTTAAAGCCTTGGAGGTCAATCCAGACACACTGCCACCCAGAGGCAGAGCCACGAACTGACTCTTCTGTACATACAAATACAGCAGTAAGGGGAACCAATACGGCCTGCCTTAAAATCAGGACTGTGGCTTACAACACGGAGGAACAGTGTATCAGAGGGAAATTCAACATTCTCCTGAATTCCGGGCGTGCCAAAAAGAAGAGTAGAAGATCTGAAGCACCTGCATTACTGCACATTTTTATTTTACTTTTTTTTTT